CAGGGACACATTAACCCACTGTGCCATTTATTGGCCATCTGCATAGGCTTTAAGCCGTGCTTTTTAGATAGAATGTTCTAGAAATTGAGGAACAAATCCATGCATGTCCCCCTTATTCCTGTAACAGATACAACAGCTTCTAATTCTTTTTTTTTTTTTGATCCTTTTCTTCTCCAGGATGAAGGATTCCCTCCCATCACTTCCTTCTCTCATGGTGGGGAAAACCTCTACTTTCCTTTCTGCTTTGGGGACCAGTCCAGAGGTGCACTTGGGGTTCAGTGCTTCAGGTCCAGCTCAGTGCAGGGCACTGATGTTCTCGTCTTGGCCTTTTTTCCCCTTAAGATTTATTTGTGGGCTCGGCTTGGAAGCCTAGCAGTTAAAGTCCTCACCTTGAATGTGCTGGGATCCCATATGGGCACCGGTTCTAATCCTGGAGCCTCCGCTTCCCATCTAGCTCCCTGTTTGTGGCCCGGGAAAGCAGTCGAGGACGGCCCAAAGCCTTGGGACCCTGTACCTGCGTAGGAGACCTGGAAGAGCTCCTGGGTTCTGGCTTCAGATTGGCTCAGCACTGGTCGTTGTGGTCACTTGGGGAGTGAATTATTCAACATATCTTCCTTTCTGTCTCTCCTCCTCTCTCTATATATCTGACTTTGCAATAAAAATAAATAAATCTTTTTAAAAAAGATTTATTTGTATGAAAGGCAGAGAGAGAGATTGAGAGTCTTCCATCCCCTGCTTCGCTCTCCAGTTGACTGCAACAGCCAACTGTGGGTCAGGCCAAAGGCAAGGCCAGGGATTCCGTCATGGTACTTGGTCCATCATCCACTGCTTTCCCAGGAGTATGATCAGGAAGCTGGAGCTGAAGCAGAGCGGCTGGCACTCAAATCGTCCCCCTGCTGTGGGATGGTGTGGTGTTACAAGCTGTAGCTTAACCTTCCTGCCACAATGGTGGTCCCTCCAAGAGCTTTCATCCCAGGCCAAAGTGGGGAGAGTGCAGGGGCCCGGCGCAATGGCCTAGCGGCTAAAGTCCTTGCCTTGAATGTGCCAGGATCCCATATGGGCACCAGTTCTAGTCCTGGCAGCTCCACTTCCCATCCAGCTCCCTGCTTTGAGGCCTGGGAAGGCAGTTGAGGATGGTCCAAGTCCTTGGGATCCTGCACCCACATGGGAGACCTGGAGGAAATTGCTGGCTTCTGGCTTCGGATCGGCTCAGCACCAGCCGTTGCGTTCACTTGGAGAGTGAATCATCGGATGGAAGATCTTCCTCTCTGTCTCTCCTCCTCTCTGTATATCTGTCTTTCCAATAAAAATAAATAAATCTTAAAAAAAAAAAAGCAGGAGAGTGCAGAGCTGGTTCATTCATAAGTGTTGTTGAATGATTTCCCCTTAGTCCTGTCCCTCCTCCATTGTGCTCCTGCTCTAAATGCAACAAGTCCTCAGAGCCCAAGGCCTGGTCCTCCTATAGGCCACGTTTTGTTTCTAGCTCGTGCTGTTGGCACTTCCGCACGTTTGAGGAGTGTGCAGACAACAGGTGTCTCATTTGGGGGAGGGGCAGTGTGCGCCAGAATTTGGATGTGAAGGCTGGGATGTCCACTTGCATTTTCCCGAGAGACTATGGTGCTGAGGTCAGTGGGAGTGGGAAGAGAAGGGAGCTGCCTGCAGGTGGGGCTGGGGGCCAGCATCGCTGTCCCCAGGCGGCTGCATCTTATGTGGAACCTCTGATGTTCCTGCATGCTAAACAGGATAACAGGATGGGCTGTGGCCACGATGCAGAAGCCAGCGAGCTTCCCCTGGAGTTTTGCATCCATCCTTAGTAAGGACCTAGTACTAAACTATGCCTCAGTGATGGCCTTTCAATGGGAGCTGGGCCAAGGCTGTCCTGGCATGTGGTTTTTCTGTGGCTCTGTCATTGAGAGTGAATGGGTGGTTACCAGGGCTCCTCAAGTAGCTCTGAGTGACCTTCTTAATAAGACAGGAAGTGCTGATCCATAAGGAAAAGGATCAATAAGTCTAGTGCACAGAAATGAAAATGTTCCAGTCAATGGAAGATGCCAGAAATGAAGTCCAATGGGAAGGATGCTGGCGTTGCGGTATAAGCCACCACTTGTGACATCAGCTTTCCATATGGATACTGGTTTGAGTCCTGGTTGCTCCACTTCCAGTTCAGTTCCCTGGTATTGTACCTGGAAAGGTAGCAGAAGATGGTTCAAGTACTTGGGCCTCTGCCAGCCACATGGGAAACCCGGTTGATGTCCCAGGCTTCTAGCCCTAGGCTGGCTCAGTGCTGACCATTGCAGCCATGTGAGGAGTGAACCAGCAGATAGGACATCTCTCTCTCTCTGTGCCGCCCCATCTGTTCTACCTGTGCTGTTGCCCTGGAAAACCTTGACTGGTAAAATATAATGTGCATTTGCTTGATAACAGTTTGGCAGTAGTCCTCGGATAATGGTCCATACGAGTTAGATTTTGGGGAATAGACATTCATTTAGACAACAATGATAGATACCCAAGTTAGGACAACTTACATAACATTGTCAGCGGTTGACAATGTCTGTCACAGTTATCAAGGCAAATTCCACTGAGACAGCAGGGTTGTAATTCTCCTTGCACAAGCAAACCAAGGTGTGTGTGTAAGGATGCTCGCGGTAGTACCTACACGAGTAAACCATTCAGCTGTGAAAACTCATCAGGGGAAAGTTCCACTGAACCACGAGAAAGCAGGGGAACATTCAGCTCATGGACACCTGTCCAGGAAATAGCGCATAGAACCAACCGTGTGAAGCAGACTACTCTATAGTTGACTATTCTTATTTCACATCTGATGCTGGGACTTCCATCTACGATCTTACAGCTAGCTCTACCTAGTGATTGCCAGCACTGTCCAGCAGAGCTTGCCAGCTCCTGTAAGCACCCTGAGTGCCAGTGAGCTTTGACATAAGTTCACATGCAAGTGACCCTCCTCCACTCAGAAGCTCAACTCTGGCTTTCTGCTCCACCTGGTTCAGACTTCAGTACTCGGTGTTCATTCCCAGGTGGGTCTTTTCCTTCCCGGGGGCTTGTATTGCACAGTGAGGAAGGCCTTGCAAAGCTGGTCCTATTTCTGCACGAGGGCCCCCTTTGCCAATGGGTTGAGTTCAGAGACTGCGATCTGTAGTTGGTCAGTCCCAGTGACTGAGCAGAAATGCTGAAGGTTCTATCCTTGCTACTGAGAGAAGCCAGACAATTGCATTAATACACACACACATGCACAACATGCTCAGATAGTCCCACGTACACACATACAACACATGTGCACCTATGCACAACACACTTCCAGCTCCCCCCATGGACAAAAGCACACACATTACATGTGCACAGAGGCATCGGCTACACGCAGGTGAGTGCCGCAGTGATGTACACACAGGGAGACTGATGCTCTGTTGATCCCTTCCTTCGTAGTAGCAGGTGAACGCTCAGGGTTAAGTGATGCATATACAAGTCAAGGCTCAAATTAGGATGAGGGTCCTGAATTGAGGATGCAGGACCACCAGGACAAGTCTGTTCCCTGTTGAGTCCTCCCAAAGTCAAGACTGGGACTAGGCAGGACCGGGGACCAAGGGCAGGGCACAGGCAAGGCTCCTGGTAGGCAGATGTGCTCACTCTTTGGTGCCCATTCTGGGGAAAGGAGAGGCTCCCCCGGGCCCCCATTGCTCTCTCTCTCTCTTTAATGTTTTAATATTTTTTCTTGGAAAGGCAGATTTACATAGAGAGAGACAGAAAGATCTTCCTTCTGCTGGTTTAATCTCCAAATGGCTGCAGTGTCTAGAGCTGAGCTGTTCTGAAACCAGGAGCCAGGAATTCCCTTGGGGTTTCCCACATAAGTGCAGGGTCCCAAGGGTTCGAGCCATCCTCTCAGGTCACAAGTAGGAAGCTGGAAGGGAAGTGGAGCAGCTGGGACATGAACTGGTGCCAGTGTGGGATGCCAGTGCTTGTAGGTAGAGGATTAGCCAACTGAGCCATGGCACTGGCCCTTGCCCCTTTACTCTTGCAGGCTGCCATAACCTGCCTCATGCCTGGTCATCTCCTGGAAGCTGGAGCTTTTCCTGATGCAGGGGGTTGCTGTCTCCCAGTATCCTGGGCAGCTCACAGGCCTATGTGATGAGTGCTGGAGCTGTGTGAGCTGCCCATGCCTGCACACCGGCTTGCTGAGCTGACATTACGCCCTGCAGATACACAGAAAAGCATAAGGTTGTCTCTGACCACCTCCTGGAAACTCCCTCATGCCTCAGCGGCTCTGGTTTTCTGTGCAAATAACTCCTCCTGCCTCGTGACTGGTTGGGGTGTGAAGGGGTCATGTCCTCTTTTGGGATATATTGGTCCGATGTCACACAGGGTGGGGGTGACTCACTGCAAAAGTGGCTGCAGGTGACCCTCTGTTCGCTGGGGTCTTGATGGAGAGGGGACTTGGGGAATGGGCACAGTGGTCAGGAAGGGAGTGAGAAAAGAAAGCTGGGCTTCCTTTTTTGTTTTTGTTTTTTTTTTTTTTTTTGGCCATCTGTTATTTTCTTCCATAGTTGTGGAAAAGGGGTGGGGTGGGGCAAAGGTCGTGAGCAAAAAGTTGGAGGGCCCTGGAGTACAGGACACGTTCTCAGGCCTAAGGCTTCCATCATCCATGGGCCCCATTTGTCAGAAGGGGCAGAACATTCACTTTCTAGAGGGGGTCTTAGGACAAAGTCCCTGTGGCCTGTGAGGCTTGTAGGTCCCTGGCTCCTTGGTCTTTTAAGCTCCTTTTGGTCTGGGTCTGATACCCCATATCTCCGTCATCCTCTCATCCCCAACTCTGGACCCGAAGTTAATTGCGCAGATGTCTAACTTTGGTCCCAATCCTCTGTTGAACTCTTAGGTCTCAGCTACTGTTGAAACCATAGGCTTGGGGCTCGCCACTGCCTGCTGGTGGAGCAGGGTCCACCCCCGCCTCAGCCTCCACCTCCGACCTTGCCTTGAAATCGCACCTCCTTCCTGTTTTGTCGTGTCCACCAGTGGGAAGTGACTGAAGGAGGAAGTATGAACGTGAAAAGAAACAGAGGGCCAGGAGCTTAAGGAGTCGAGCCGTGGCGAGTGTTCTCGCTGACCGGCTACCTCTTCAGGGAGAGACCAGTGAGCAGAGAAGATGCACTTGCTGCTGCTGTTTCCCTTCCTGCTCTGGCTTTCAGGTGAGTGGACGGGGCTGTCCTCCTGGGAAGCTGTAGGCAGCAGGGGATGTGGCTGGCGGAGTGGAGGAAGGAACTCAGCAAGAAGGTATTCTTTCTGCCAAGGGCCTGGTGAGTTGCAACCATTGTCACTCTCTTGGGATCTCAGTGTCCACGGCTGCCTCAGCAAGAGTAGGGTGTGCGACTGTCATCACCCCATATCCAGCATGAGGTTTGATTCCTGTTCTCGTGGGAGCCGGTGACACGGAATAGGGAGAGAGTATTGGCCCTGCTAGTCCGCAAGGAGTAGGGAGGGTTGGTGTAGGTCAGGTCCTGCTGTGCACCTGACGTGTCTTTGTACCTGTGCCCTCAACAGGGGAGGGAGCCAGGGCAGAGGGAGTTTGCCAGGCAGAGGCAGCTCTCAGTGTTGGGCAGGAGGAAGCTGTTGGGGTTCTGAGGTTCTAGACTTACCACAGGAAATCAGTGACTGCAGCGTAGGCAGAGACCGGAGGTTGGCTCAACATTGATGTCCTTGAGTTTTGAATGTTGGAGGGTCCGAGGACTCAGTGTGGGGGGCATCCTGTAGTACAGTCTAAGCTTTAGACCTCTCCTGGGACTCCAGAATCTTCCATACAGTTGCCTACTTCACACATCCACTCATGATCCAACCGCGTCTGCCTCTCTTGAGGCTGTTTCTCTCCCAGCCTCACCTGTCATTGTGCTTGGCGTTTTCTCGGTACTCAGCCAAAATCTAGGGGACACTCGTCTGTTTTCCAGGAGTGCCTGTGTGAGTTAGAATTAAAATCCAAATATATTCCGGGGGCTCCCCACTTCCTCCCCTTCTCCTGGGTCTCACCTCACTCCAGCCAACTTGGCTTTGACTGTGTGAGTCATCCTCTGGTCTTAAGGATTTTCCTCAGGCTGTCATCTGGGCCCAGAAGGTTCTTTTCCAGACAGCCATAGGCTCTAAGCCCTTGCATCTTCCATGTCTTTACTTCATCCATGACCCTGAGCAGAACTGTAATTCTCTGATGTTTTCTGCTTCATCTCCTCCAGTCCCATGGGAGGTAAGCTCCAGCAGGGTAAGGAGTCCCGGGCCCACAATGAGTTTCTAAAAGGCACTGATTGAACAAGCAGCAAGTTCCGTTGAATGAATGACCACATCCAATAGTGAGAGAGTAATGCAACTGCTGCCGTGCCCTCTCCCTCCCACCCCACCCATCTTCCTCCGCTTTTAGAGAGAGAAGCAGTTAGGACTCTAACAGCTCGTTGGAGAGGACCCACCACCGGATGGGGATTCGTGAGCGTGGAGCCCCTTTGCAAAGCCAGCTGGCTACACTTCAAAGCTTTAAGCACAGAAGTATGTGACCCAACAACGCCCCTCCTCACCCCCCAATCCCTAGGTTTCTACCTAGGACTCCCAGAAATGTTTGTTTACAGAAAAAAATTGTGACAATGTTCTTCCTGGTGCCTGGGAGATGCAGATCACTCAGCAGTCCATTCCCTGAGGAAGCGCTAAGTGAGAGGGGGAGGATGGCTGTAGACAGATGGAGGCTCTGCCCGTGTGCTGCAGCGTGGAGGGAAGGGGCTGAAAAGCATGGCGCTGTGCTTGCTTCAGCAGTGCAAATGCTAAAACTGGAATGATACAGAGAAGATCGGCATGGCCCCTGAACAAGGGGGACATGAAAAGCATGGCACTGAGTGAAGGGGCCAGCACGGACAGGGCAGGCGACATCTGCATGGGACCCCGTTCACGTGAACTAGTCCGGAGAGGCGAATCCACAGGGCCTGGGGGAGGGGGTCAGGCAAAGCGGCTCCTAATGAGAGGGGTTTCTTTTTAGGGGGAGCTGAAGGTGTTCCGGATTTAGACAGGAATGACAGTTCCATGAACGAACACCGCCGAGCTGTGGCCTTTAAAGGGTGGAGTGTGAATGAGGGCTCAGGAAGAACACCCTGCAGGCAGCGAGGAATGGGAACCCAGCAGAAGTGGTTGTGTTGCTGGGTAGCACGTGGACAGAAGGCTCTGAAAGGGACATGGCAGCTGGGTAGTCCTGAATGGCCTGTGGTTCTCTTACACAGCTTAATGGACACTCCATTCCACCCACCATAGTGTAAGTGAGATGGAGCAGTCGGTGGGCAGGTGTGCTGGAGCCCAAATAGTGTAGGGGAGGAACACGTGCTAATGAGTGGGCAGTTTCTTTCAGGGGAGCAGCAAGTCCCCTGGGGATCTGCTGTGGAAATAAGCTTGGCCTTGGCACATCTGAAGAACAGAAAGGTCAGGGTGGCAGAGCACATGCCTGGGGGGAGGGTTGGGAGGATTTTGTTTGATCTTAGAGTGGGAGAAATGGGCCTTGTCCAGGAGCCCAGGAACTGGGAGAGGGCCTCAGCCCAGACCTGGACCAGGCTGGTTTGGGGAAGGGTATGGTGGGACAAACCAACAGGCTCAGGAGGGCATATTCAGGGCTGCTTTGCTCTGGCATCTGCAAATGGGAGAGCTTGGTGGTAAGTGGATGTGACAGTGGATGTGACAGTGGATGTGTTGAGTGTGTGTCTGAGAACCTGTCTGGAGTGTGAGTCACTCAGGACTCAGGTCTCCAGTGCCAGCTCTTGGTGTACCCACCAGCTTCTTCCCAGCCTCTCCCACAGAAGTGTAGCCACAATGCAGAGGGTTAGGCTGCTGTTGGTGGTGTCAACACCCCGTAAGAGTGCTGCTTTGTGCCCCGGCTGCTCCACTTTTGATTCAGCTCCCTGCTCATGCTCCTGGGAAAGAAGTGGAAGATGGCTGGACTGTTTGGATCCCAGCATCCACGCAGGAGAACTGGATGGGAGAACTGGATGGGAGAACTGGATGGAATTGCATGCTCTTGCTTTTGGCCTGGTCTAACCAATACAGGATGTTGGTGTCCCAAGCTAGCAGCTTTAGCGTTCGAGCATATCACATCGAATACTTTTAGTTTATTCTTATTTTTCAGTGTGTATGTTTGTGTGTGTGTGTGTGTGTGTGTGTGTGTGTGTGTGAAAGAGAGAGAGAGAGAGAGAAAGCTCACATCTCCTGTTTAGTTCTCAAATGCCCAGAGTGGTTGGCATTAGGCTGGGCAGAAGTTGGAAGCTGCAGACTCAATCCAGGCCTCCCACAGGGGCGACAGGACCTAGCTCCTTGAACAGTCACCGCTGCCTCCCAGGGTCCGCCTTAGCAGGAAGCAGGACTCGGGCGCTGGAGGCAGGGTTTGAGCCCAGGTGCTTCAACACGAGATGAGAGTATCTTACTCAGCAGGCGACATCCCATCCCTTGGTCTAACTTTTGGCACAGGTGTTAAGCTTTTACAATTTCTATTTTTTTGTTTTTCTTTTCAATGCAGGCCTCTAACATTGAAAAATGTCTCTAAGCACAATTTAGACGCAACCCACAATTTTCTTTTAAATAGAGATAGAATTTACATGTGGTGAAGTGTGTGGGTCTTTAATGCTAAAGTCTGTGAGTTTTCCACACATGCATGTAACTTGTGTCTCACAGCCTCGTTGAGTTACGGAACATTCCACCACCCAGAATGTTCCTGAGCTCTCCGCCCAGGAACCATGTTGGCAGTCCACCACCGTAACCCACCTGCCACAGAACTTTGCATGGGTGGCCAGCGAGCACGCTTTTGCTCGCCTGTCACTCTGCATGGCTGCACTCCCCAGCCATCTCCGCTGCTTTGCATGTCAGTGTTTTGTTGTTTTTCTTTCTTTGGGGTGCCATCACTGTGGGTGCAGAATCATTTGTTTATCCATTCTCGTGCTGGACATTTGAATTTTTTTCTCATCTATGGTTATCATGAGTAAAGTCATGAAAAGAATTTTATGGACATTTCTTTTTATTAAAAAAAATAATACTTCAGAGTGGAATTCCTGGGCTAAAAGGAATGTGCATTTTCTAACTTTATTATCAACTAAAAAAACACTTCTCTGAAGTGCTGCAAAGTAATTACATAATTTCACACTCATGCCAGCAATGTGTGAGAGCTCCAATGGTCATATGTCAACCATCTAGTTATATATATATGTACATATGTATATATATATGTATATACATATATCTATGTTTGAAAGACAAAGTTACGGAGAGAGGGAGAGGCAGAGAGAGAGAGAGAAATATCTTCCATCTCCTGGCTCATTCCTCACTGGCTGCAACAGCCAGGGATGGGGTCCTGCTGAAGCTAGGGCCGGGAGCTTCCTCTGGGTCTCCCACATGAGTGCAGGGTCCAAGCATGCTGACCATCTTTTGCTGCTTTCCCAGGCACCTTAACAGGGAGCTGGACTGAAGGTGGAGCAGCTGGGACACAAACTGGTGCTCATATGGGATGCTAGTGCTTGGGCTCCTATCACTGCTGTGGATACTCAAATGGAGATCCTGGCTCCTGGTTTCAGCCTGGCACAGTCCTGGCTGCTATTGACATTTTGGGAGTGAAACAGTAGGTGGAAAATCTCTCTTTCTCTGCCTCTCTATCACTCTGCCTTTTAAGTAAATAGAAAAATAAATCAATACAACTTTAAAAAAGGGAAACCTATGGGTGTAACAAGGAAAAGTTAAAAAATGAGGCTCTCTCTGTTTGTGTTCTTGAGTAGTAGGCATTCTTTACTCATCTGGATATACATATTATGTTTTGGATTGTGTATGGAAGCTGCTAGACCATGTCAGCATCTGTTGCAAAGTCAGGGTTGAAAGTGGCCAGAGATGGAGATGATGTTAGCATGGCCAGACAGGTGCCAGCAGGTGAGGTGTTCTGCTCCTGCCAGGGGCAGAAACTGGGTAACACGCTTTCTACCAACCCCGAAGGGCACATGTACCTTGGTGAGGAAAGTGACTTTCTGAGCCTTTGTTTGTTAATTATGAAAATTTTCCATATCATAAAGGAAGGAGAATCTGAAGTTGAATAATCAAAGGGAAAAATATTCACAGGAAAACAAACATTGAGCTGAGGGTTGCTATGGAAAATAAATCCAGATGGAGGACAGGGCTTCAGGCTAAACTACCACTTGTGACA